GCTAAGCTCCATCAGGGACATGGGGTTCCCACAGTTGTGATGCTTTCAAATCATGTTGGCAAATCCTTGAGGGCTTTTCTCACCAACACAGAGCTTAGTTACTTTCCCTTGAGTATGGTCTCATCTTACGGACTTGATTCTATAGGGTAGCACACTGCAGGAGTGATGCTGTGAGTCCTGAGTGGTCATAAAGCCACTAAGATGTTTCTCAATTTACAACAGGGTTAGGTCCTGAGAAACCTTGGATATTGCTCACCTGTGGAGTCCCCTAGTCAGCACTGTGATGCACTGAGGAGCACTGGCTGTCTACTCTTAGGGACTGACTAGGAGCTGTGGTTGCTGGCTACTACCCTGCTCATGAAAGAAAACTGTGCGCATGGCTGGCCCAGGAAGACACCCCCATTCAAAACTCAGTTTCTCCTGGAATGCATAGCATTTTTTGCACATGGTAGAGATGAAAAATCTTAAGAAGAGCCACTATAAGTCAGGGACCATTGGATCACCTTTTGTCTTGGTTACTTTTCTCTCATTGCTGGGACAAAATACCTAACACCCAAAATGAAGGAAGGAAGGGTCTATTTAGCTCACTGTTTGTGGAGGTTTCAGTCCATAACAGCTGGCTCCTAGTCAGACTGTCATGGCACTGGGGCAATGCTTCAAGACAGCAGCCAGAGCAAAAGGGGATAGGAAGCAAGCCTCTTTTCCTCCTCATACTGTATGCAGGCCACCTCCTCCCCACCCCACTTCTGGGTGGGTGGAGCACTCACAAAATCTCCTTGCCCTCCTCTGCACAGGATGAGGATATTTATAAAGTAAGAACTCTGGCTCCCTGCTGAGTCTCTCAGTTAAACTTCTAAACTTCTTAAGTTCACACCATATATCAAACATAACACCTTTCCCTTGGGCTCTCTCTTTCAGTCCACAACCTTGGGGAACCTGGAGCAGACAGAGAAGAAGTCCTACTACCCTGATGCTTCATGCCAGAGCGATCACATGGAGCAGCCACAGGGAGACTGAAGAGAGTCCAAGAGACCCAGTGGCTCCCATCCACTAAGCACGTTCACCTTCCTGGCATCCAGGCAAACCTCACAAGTGGGAAGACTTCACACTATCCCAGCTCCCCCATGAGCTGCTCCAGGTGAGGTTTAATGGAAAGATCAGCTTTTCCCCTGAGCCCTGCCCAAATTGCTGACTTACGAACAAAACAGATGTTGTTGACTGAAGCTACTATGTAACCTCAGGGAACAGGGACATTAAATGTGAACACAGAGAATTATTAAGGCTTCTGTACTGGAGTAACCAAAACATAGAGTGCTTCAGGCAACAACAGGGTCAGGAGAGCGGCCAAAGCCGGGGCTCCCGAGCTGCCTCAGGACTAAGTCTCCTGCTGGCCGGCAGACAGGGATCTACAGATACAGAAAGCCCTCTACACCACAGTAATCTCTGCCTCGGGCCTGCCAGAAATTCCATCTCTATCATGTTGTTTTTGTTCTGGTAGCCTCTTATCCAAAGGCCTACCAGTCTAAACCCAGAGTGGCTTGTGAATAGCTCCCTAGTACAATGCAGTAAATATTAACACAAAGGCCTTGAATTCAGGCACTGGGTTCTTTCCAACACAAATACTCAACAATTTATTGATAAACAGCATCTCTCCATCTCCTCTTATGGTGATCATTCACCATCTTTGCTTTGCAACTTCATGTGTCCAAAAGAGTTTACTCCCTGGCCTTTCTGTTCTGGTAAAGTATCATTCGTGTGTCCTTAGCTCTGGTAGCTCTGCTCCCACTCGGCAGTCTTCCTGAGGCCCCTGATGGTGCAGCAGTGAGCTGGGTGCCATGACCAGGGCCAGGGCCTGGTCTCTGGAATGTGGCCAGTAAGTAACACAGCCCTGTGTGACAGTCAGCTTTGTGTCACTGTGTTAGAAACAACAGATAAAATCAATCCAGTTGAGGAAAGACTGACTTTGGCTCATGGTTTCGGAGGCTGTGATCTATGGTTGCTTGGCTTCCCTGACTGTGTCTGTAGTGAGGCAGACACAGCATGATGGACGGACACGGGAGACACTGCTCACCTCATGATGCTCAGAAAGCAAAGATGGAGGGAAGAGTCAGAGAAAAAACAGCTGGGAACCAGATACAGCCCCAACGTTGTGTCGTCGTGATCTGCTCCTCCCAGCTAGGTCCCACCGTCTAAATTCACATCACCTCCTAAGGTCATCAGATTGTGAGCTCATGAATACATGATGAAGTCAGAGCTCCCGTGACTTGTTCACCTTCTGAAAGCCCCACCTCTGAGCACAGCACTGGGAGGGATGTTTTAGAGCAAAGCCACAATGACTCGTCTGTTGAGGATTTTGGAGGTATCACCCAAGGAGAGCCTTTTTTCTCATCTGCAGCAGTGGAGGCTCTCACCACAGGAAATGCCTCCCACGGGGTACAGTGGTGGCCAGCACTGTTAACTAACCCCATCACCTATGCTGCTTCTCAGCAGGCCATCAGTTTAGAACCAAGTGGGCTAACCAGGCATTTCTAGCCAAATCTCCCTTGCTTGTTATGAAGTGGGAGACAGAACTGGAGAGGCTTCATAAGTGCTGTGCCTGTGAAGTCAACATCAGTCTAGGTTTATTCTCAGATACGGCTTTGATAAGCAGTGGGACCTGGAATGGTTCTTTTGGAAAGCGTTCTGCTTGGTTCATAGCTAAGCAAGAAAGAGTCTGCAACGGGCAGTGGCCTCTCACAAGTCTAGAGCTATAAAGGTGCTCTGTGGACAGAAACTTCTGTTATCTGGAGTCTGTGTGGGGTCTGGGGAGGCACGAGGCTTAGCTTAAGTTCTGGCTTCACCACCCACCTAGCCAGGTGACCAATTTTGTTTTTTGAAAGTTTTGCTTCTGTGCCCCACAGTAGGAAATTCATTTTACATCTTAATCTAGCGTGCACACACACACACACACACACACACACACTCCCCTCTACAACAAACATTTCCCATACTACATCTGGAATACCTTTTTTCTTTCAATTTTCTAAAAAGGAATCTGATTATAATCCACTGAAGTGGAGTACTATGCACTAATGGGTTGTAACCCAAAATTTGAAAACAGTTTAACTTTGTTTAGAGTATCTTCTTGCTTTCCTATTTTCTTGTCTGTAAAAAGGGAGATAATATGCTAATTCCTAAGTTTTAAGTAAAATGTCAAGCAAAAATTCTAGCACTGGGTTGACACAACCTTGTCAGCAATAAATGGCAGATGACATCATCACTAAACATCAGCATCACCAGTATCATACCAGGATCAGCGTCAACACCATTGCCATATCTACCTTAGTTACTTTCTTATTCACTGGAACAAATAACTTGACACCACACCTTATAGGAGGAGAGGCTCTCCATGGTCAGCTGGCTCCCAGGAGGAAGGAGGAAACAGCAATGGCAGAGAGGCCTAGTGGATGAAAAGCTGCTCACACCATGATGGCCAGTAAACAGAGAGGAACAGAGGAGCCAGGGAGGGAGACACATCCTTCCAGGTCGTGGTCCAGTGACTGCGTATTCAGACCGTGCCCTACCCCGCAACATCATGGTTAGCTGTGGCACCTCCTGACCCAATCACATCCCACAACACCACCTTGAGCACTGGGGTTCATTCTTGACCTAAACCATAACAACAACATCACCATCACCGATTAAACTTGATAACATAAAATGAGATCAAATCAAACTCATTAATGAAAAGCTAACACTATTTAAATGATTCTTCTAGTTTAAGAATCAACAAACTGTGTCCACCCTTGGGCCAATCCCAGCCCACCACCTGTTTTGTAAGTAAATTCTTGTTGGGGCAGGGCTACAGTCACCTGTTTAGACATGGCTGGCAGCAACTTTAGTGCTTCGGGGGTGGGTGAGCTGAGTAAAGCCACACAGACCACAGAGCCTGTAAGGTCTTAAACACTCACAGCTTCTCCTTTTCAGAAAAGTGTGCCAGTCTCTATTTTAGTCAGTGGGGTAGGATGCAGCTCAAATGAAAGAAAAGTGCACGTGAGGGTCACATGGCAACATGCAAAAGTATTTACAGTGTGAATAGTGGGATAAAGGGAATTTTCTTAGGGAAAAAGACCTTTAGATGTCATAAAATGCCTCCAAAATGGTGGTGGATGCTGGGCAGTCTGGTAACCATGGTAATCTTGCAAGCTGCTCTAGGCCACTGCCAATAGATACCTGAGATGGGGGTGAGAGGACCAGGGATGCCTCTGGTTAAGGGTCCGTGGTCTGTCCACAGGTTTGTTCCTATGCCTCTTACCCTCCTGCCTCCGTTCTGAAAGAAGTGGCTCACAAAAGGGATGGGGTGACCTCAAATTCACAAGTAGGACTGGCAGAAGAGCTGGCTACCCTCCTGCACAGCCCACAAGCCAGACATCTGCTTGGACAAAGACTTGGAAGTCCCTTGCCCACAAATATGTCCCTCTTGGGGCTGGAGCTGGGCTGAGCTTCCAGCTGTGTAACTTTCCATCCGAGAGGCAGCCTGTGGGGAAGGGTGGAGACGAGGGCTTCCTTTGCATTTCTGTGGGAAGATGGAGCAACAGGAACCAGGCTGCTAGGCCCGTATCCTGGTGTACAACCAGGTGTCCTAAGGACGCATCCTCGTGACTACAAAGACAACATCCCTTCCCACAGTGTGTCTCCCGGGCTGGCTACTCTTCGGGACAATCCCATGGCCTAAGAAGGGTGGTGGTGGCCAGGATAAGGCAGAAGGAAGGTTCCTGGCAAGAATGGTGAGCAGGAAAGAACAGAGTGCATTAAATGCGATGTTTTGGCTTTCTCCTCTTTCTTCAGTTACAAGTTTGGAAAGGGCGGAAATTCTTGGGCAAAATACCATGCCCAGGAAATCTGTATATTTAATTTCCAAGAAAACATCCAGTTTGGCCTCTGAATACAGGAAATGGCCTGGTGGAACTGTTAACAATCAGAACACGCAGAATGCTGCCCACACAGCACAGGCGCCCACAGATCCCATCCAGGTGGGAGAGGCGGCTGCTGAGGGCTTGGGCATTGCTGGCGGTGGGGCTCTGACCAGGCTCTCAAATGGTCTACAGTGCTGCAGCTGGGGGCTCCGTGGACACCTCTGATGCTCCAAGACCCAGGAGAGGTTAGAACCCAGGTAGGGCGGGAACCCTTGTGGTGGGACCAATTGTCTGGCCTCCTCCCAGGACTGCTCGCCCTCACCACAAGGCAGAGAGCTGCGACGGGGTCTGAGCTCACTGCTCAGCAGCAGCGGGCTCACCGGCTCTGCCTTGTGCTCCTCGTCAGTGCAGCGGGGATGGCAGCCCTCTTACGGTTTTCACAAAGATCTCAAGAGACAGAGCAGTTGCCCCTTGTCTCCTCTCCACACAGAGTCCAGTGGGACAAGTGGACAGAGTGGGGCTAAACATTCTTGGGTTTTTAACTGGGCTCATGGACTTAAAGGCAGACTTCTGTGGCACACAGCTGAAGGGCTGGCATCAGACAGGAGTTTGTACCCTGGCATTTCCTCTCGCAGAGGGATTATTCCGCATGCACACTGGCCAGGGACACTTCCCATGGTCCCTCTGTCCTAAAGCATGGCACCTTCAGAGGACGGCTCTGGGGTAGGTGTGGAAGCCACAATTCTTGGGTTCATTGGTCTGCTAGACAGATGTGTCCTGCCTAAAGTCAGCTGTGCTGTCCTGTCTCCAGACCTGGGGGTTGGAAGCTGACGGTGGGTGCAGAATTTAGCTCTGCCCACCGTGTTCAGACCTCCAACACTGGACAGTCCAGCTATCGAGTCTAGCTGGCCTGACATGACCCGGGCCCTCTCCAAATACAGCCTCTCGGTGGGAACTCCATGTGGGCAATTCTGAAAAGCCTTCAGCAGTGATGCCCCTCTGGCTGAGATAATTCTTCCCACAGTGACACTCTGGAGGAGTCTCAGGGAGGACTCACTAGCCTGCCTCTGCCATTGCTGGACTCTGAGCCCCTGCTGAGGTTCCAGAGGACGGACATCACCCTTAGAGGCTGGCAAGTCAGTGGACAGAGCCCACTGCATGGAGAACAGGAAGGTTCACTGGTTGCTGATGGCTGAGATTGAAGGCCTGTAAGGGCAGGACTGGTAGGACAGGATACAGGCCGTGTGGATGCTGAGCTTGTATCTTTATAGCTCCCCATGGACAAGGCAAGGGACAGCAAGAGTGCTGCACAGCATTCTCACATGGGCACCTGTGAGGTGACTTCAGAGCGAGAGGGAGAGAGGGAGGGGGAGAGAGGGAGAGAGGGGGAGGGGGAGAGGGGGAGGGGGAGAGGGGGAGAGGGAGAGGGGGAGGGAGGGAGAGAGGGAGAGAGGGAGAGGGGGAGGGAGGGAGAGAGGGAGAGAGGGAGGGAGGGCCAGCCAGAGGCAAGAGGCCAAATATATTTAGAAAATATCCACAGTGCTCCCCTGCACATTCCCACTTTACTAAATTGGTGATATTTTTGCTGAACTTACATGTGATTTTTAACACTCCTTAGCAGGGGACCTCAAAGTGTGGTCTAGGTCGGGTACACGCTACCTAGATCACAGTACCTGCCCTCTGCTTTGGGGGAAGCTGGGTGGTAGCCACCCTTCCCTCAGGGGATTTTAGGTAGCACCGAGGAGCCTCACAAAGGCTCTGAGGGCCCTGGTGCAGAGAAATTCCTCATCCTGCTGACTGTCTTCCAGTTCTACGCGGCCACATGACCCTTTGGTGGCATGAGGGCAGTTAGGTCTCCCAGGAACAAGCTTTGGGGAATGGGAAAGAATGCAGGCTTGGGCTTTGGAAGACCTTGGCATGAACCCCAGTTCTGAGACTCAGCAGCCTGGGCAGACACAACCTCATCACATAGTTGACTAGCTGTGAGCTTCGTATCTGTGCTAAGTCTGGCATTCAGAGCAACACCCACCAAGTGGTGGCGCCAGCCATAATCGAATTGATCATTGTGATGACAAGCTTTCGCCAGGTGTTAGCAGTGCAGTTCAGGCGTGCTGCACATGTGTTCTTTATGCCCTCAGTCTCCCCTCCCCAACCCCACCATCATAAATCTCTTTGATCTGGAGATACCAGGCCAAATGCAACAATTTCTTCCATGTCCCTGCATTCTCGAGTTAAATGCCCTGACTACTTTTTGCAAAGTTTACTCCTTCAGTCAGGCTTCCTGCCTGCTACCTGGCTCTACTGCCTTTCTATGAGGAACGGGAGGAGCGCAAGCTCAGGACAGCCAGCACACATGGCCACACTGTGTGGCAGCACACGAGGTGAGGCAGAGAGAGGATCCGGGCCAAGCCCACTCCCACACCTGACAGCGGCTGCTGGGGTCACACAGTTTAAGGCCTGTTTGGCTATCTAGGCGCCTGCATCAGGATCTGCCTTCCTGCTTCTAGGAGATCAGCAAGGGCTTACGTGAAGGTCCCAGTTAGGCTGAGTTAGCTGTTCCGACTCAGTGACTCGTAGGCCTGGAGACAGTGGGAGCCTGGGAAAGTCACCTATTGTCTTTGAATCCCAGATCTTCATCTGTAGGTGGGTTTGGTAAAATTCACCTCACCAGGCAACAGCCTGGGGGCTCTGCCCTTCACTGTTGAGTATTGCTTTTTAAATACCTCTGGAACGTGACAAGGACTTCCTGAAGTTCATGTGAGCAAGGACCCAGGTCTCAGGCCACCTTTGCCCCATGTTCTCTGACCGGTATCTCTCTCTTGGGAATGGAAGTCTGGAAAGTCACAATTACATCATGTGATTTTCTCCCAGAAATTGGAATTCTCCAAAGTTTCTGATTTAAGAAGAGACAGCTATCTGAGGTCAGAGGGCAGGACTGGGGAGAGGGAGGGGAGCTGAGTTTATGAAATATGGTAACTAGATCAGATCTCCTTCTAAGTCCTCATGAAACGTACTTATCCTAAGAAATGAGTCTTTTAAATATCACCACCAAACCAGGAGAACACAAATGTCTTGTTTGACCTGAGAATCTGCAGCTAGCTGTGTGAGGCCCTAGTTCCGGGACAGTAGTCCCAGGCTGCTGGAAAGATCACAGCTGTGGTCAGAAGACACATGGCAGCCCCGCCAGCCTCCTCCCGTGGTAGCATCGGTCCTTAGGCTGACACCCCACTGGGTCTTCGAGCTTACTGGTGAGGCAAGTGATTTACTGGAAGACCTGTGCACTAGGTCTTTTATTTCCAAATGTCAAAGAGCAGCCAGTGAGGTCATCTGGCTGATGGGTGGGGAGAACGGAAGGAGGAAGTACCCGGGAGCTCCAAACACGTGAGCAGGAGCACACACGTACCAGGCACAGCTGGCCCTGGGAGCAGCGTAAGACGTAGCAGTCTGAGCGGTTCTTACCTCTCAACGGTAGCTTCCCTGTGTTTTCTCAAATTGGGCCCCATGGCTCCCTGCTGTGATAGGTGACTTAATTTCCAGGGTGACTGGGTTAGTCCTGGACAGACAATGAGACCTTGGGGTGCTATACTCATCAGAGGACTAATCCACAGTGTCCAAGGCCATATGTGCTGTTAGGAGGTGGGACCCGAGGACATGTCTTTGGGGACTGTGTCTTTCTGGTGCTCTGACTCTGCTGTCTGGCTGTGTGATGCAGCAGCTTTCATCCCTCAGGCCTTTCCCCATGATGCTTCTGCTCTGGAGCCAGATGACATCTCCTGAAGCCTCTGAGGCTGTGAGCCAAATATATTTCTCTGTCCTTTAAACTGTGGGTGCCAGGTATTTTGTCTCAGGGACAGGAAAGTTGACTAACACACCCCCATCAGTGCATCTTCCATGCTGTCACTAGAGGACTCTCAAGAGCATACCTGGATCATGTGTCACCTCTCAGGCCATGCCTGCTTGACTCTTAAGAGTCAAGTCCCACGTCCACAGCTTTCTCCGACATGAGAACAGTGTTCTCTGCTTGTTTGACTTCCTGGGGCTCAGCTGGTAAAGCAAACTGACCAGCCCTTGAGTGACGAATGGACAGAGAGCCTGGCTTTCCAGGAAACTCCCCTGCTGGCCTCTCTGGTCTTGAGTCCTACTCCCCACACCATGCTGTCACTCCCACAGAACAGTTCTGACTTCTCTGCTTGTACCATGCTCTCATAAACTTAGGTCACTTTTGTACGTGTGTACCTCTTTAGCAGGGAGCCCATCATCCCCTCAAACCTTGCAGGTGCAGATTCTTCTTGCCCCAGCAGGCCCCTCACTACCTTCTTGAATCCTGCACTTGCTCCCAAATGTGGTTAGATGCCCTTTCTCTGAGCAGTCACGGAGTGCTTGTCTGTGCCCTCTACTTGGACAAGAAGCCTTCAGGGGAAGGACCTTATCTTCTAGGCACAGCACACGGCACAGAGTGTGAACAAATACCTGCTGAATGTGACAGGGCCTTGACAACACATGCAACCCTGGGCCCAGACCATTTCAGCCATGCCAGAGACAGGGGACACTCACATATTCCACATCCTTGGCCAGGTCACCAAGGCTGCCATTGGTGGTGGGCGCAGCGGTCTCTGCACCCTCTGGCTTCTCCTGGTTCTTCCCCTCCTCCTTGGGCAACCCTCCTTGGCCTGGCAGGGCCACTTCGCCTACTCCAAGGGCCTCGCTCTTATATTGCTTGACGAACTCTTCCATCACTTTCAGCTCATTCTCCGAAAGTCCACGACAGCGCGAGGGGTCCTGGTCGTAGATGGGGAGCTGGTGCATGAGCTGGCGGCGGCGGTAATAGGCCCCCTCAGTGCCCGTCACTGGCTGCCGCTCCTTGGGGATGAGCTCCATGTACTGCAGGCCCTGGGGGCAGAGGCGGAGAACGGAGTCACATGGATGGGCTCCCAAGCACCCATCCAAAGCACACCATGCCGGCAGCGCCTTTGAGGGTTATTAGCAACCGCACCTACTGTCATCAGTTTTGAAACTGAATATAGCTTGTTTTCAAATTTCAAAAGCAACACCTGTCCCTTATCACAAATAAGAAAACACAGATGAAAAGAAAGCACACAAAGGAAGACAGTCACTCTCTAGCTGTATATACAAGACAGGCTGTGAATCTTCATCTTGGTGACACTGCCCGTGCCATGTAAGTCTGTCTAGGAGTTAGTTATGCACAGCATGTGTGCTCTTCACTGTGTGTGCGCTGTACCTGACTGTAAGAGGCATTTAAAGACTTCTGACTCACTGGCCATGGCGATGGCTCGATACTCGTTTAATCACCCAGAATGTTTCCTATGTGTATTTTTTAAAAATTATTTGGATGTTGTTTTCTGTGTGTGTGGGTAGGTGCATGTATGTGTGCGTGCATGTGTGTGTACATGATTTAAAATGAGTCCTCCATTTCTGGATTCCATTTTCTGATGGTGCTGGAGCCCATGTTCATGTTGGAGAGACAGAAAACTTCTCTGGAGGTGCTGGGCCTCACATGCTAGGCAAGTGTCCTGCCTCCCACAGCTCGATTAACTGGGATTAGCTGGCTCTATCTCTGGCCAAGAAGCACTAGTATTATACTACTGCTTTGGATGGCATTGAGGAGAGAAAGGATATTATATTTCTATCAGAATGTGAAAAAGAGATCATTTTGCTTTGTCCTCTGACTTACAAGTATTGTAATGATTATAAGTTTGTCTCTATCAACAATGAAAAGTTGCCACTTTTCAGGTTTTGTTTTGTTTCTTTCTTTCAGTTTTGAGACAGTGTCTTGCTGTGTAGTCCAAGCTGGCCTCAAACTCCCGGTCCTCTGGCCTTAGCCTTCCAAGTGCTGAGACTAAGGGCGAGTGCTTCCAACCCTGCTGAAAGGCGCGACTTCTGCACATCTTCTCTGGGGAAGAGGGAAGGCAGCCAGCTGAGAAAATGCTCATGCAATGGCCACAGTGATGCAAGGTGACTGTCTTCTCACTGGTTCCACAGCTACTGTGTTGGATTTCTCTTCCACTCAGTGCTCCCTGGGGAAAAGCTTTCTCTTATCTTTTCTGTTCTCACAAGCAGCACTCTGAGTCTAGGCCAGTCCTGTTCCTTATCTGTTTCTAGTATACTGGAGCTCACCCTCTTAGTGGGACCATCCACCTCCAGAGGTCAGGAATGTTTTTTCTACTCTCCTAGCAGAGTGAAGGCTCTGGACTTGGCCTGCTGTGAACTCAAATCCTGGCTCTGGGATGCGTGACTAAAGCCACTTCACATCCTTTTTGTGCACAGGTCAAATGAGGAGCATAAAACCCGAAGTGGTTTGCAGGACTCCGTAATAGGTCTCTAAGCTAAACCATGAAGGTTACTGATTTTTCCCTCCACCTTGCTCCACTGTGGGATTTTCTACTCTTTCAAATCTCTGACTGTAGCCACAAACACCAGATGAATATTTCAAAGCAGTCCTTCTCCAGTGACAGAGTGTGTAACCACCACAGTGGCTGTGAATGCAGATTCTCAAGCCCCAGCCTCCAGTCAGGATCTCAGCACAGCAGGTAAGGTGGGCGCCAAGGAACTGTAGGTTGAAGAAGAGCCTGAGGCTTTGAACCAGAAAGCTGGTCTATGAGCCTCACTCCTGCCTTATGCAAACATTTTGTAGTCCCCATCTGTGATCAGGCTGACCCACTGCTTTTAAGTCTTTGGGGACAAGAAATGTGTGAAATAAACCAGCTGTGGACCCAGGCAAAGACTGGAGGCAAGGCTAGTGCTGAGCCACTAGTGGCTTCAGGATTCTGCAAAACTCAAGCACGTTCCAGGAGAAAATTTGGTGAATTTTGGGAACACATGAGAAGGTCATAAACAAGTGTTCACTCTGCCCAAAACTGTAGCCATGCATTCACGTTCTTGACAAGAACAGCTCAGTTTAGGGAGGTGTGCATTACAGATTTTCTGGCTTGGCCACATGGGTCCAGTCTCCTTAAGAGCAACATTTTTGCTTCATTTACCTCATGGGGAATACTTCTAATTTTTAAAAAGTCAACATAGTTTAAAAGTGTAGATCATTATGGGCATAAGAGAGCTCACGGTTTATTAATTTCCAAACTTTCAAAGGCACCTCCTAGGACAAGGCCTGAAGTGCAACTTCCACATCAACATGACTGGTAATTGTTTGAATATTCACAGATGCACAGACAATTGTTTCATTTGGCTCTTTTAAAAAGTGAACAGAGATCTGTCTGGGTCATCCCTTGGTTGGGGGACATTAAGGGAGAAGCAGACCCAGCCTACATCTCAGTGTCAGCAGCTGAGAGGCAGATTATTTAGTCTGGATGGTTGATGCCCATTTCTGTGCCTACTCCCAACCCTGGCCCCACCACCAGGTTGTAGGACCCTCTCTTGTTTTGAGCGGCCACTGCTTTGTTGACGCTTTGTGAACCCGCTGGCCGCACATCTCATCCCTTGGGACTGGGCTTACTTTGGAATTATGGGATTCAACATGGAAATTCACGCTCAAAATCTTAATAAGCAAGCCCAGCTGCCGTGTGGTTGTAGGCAGTAGGATGCTGCTTTGGACTTCAGTGCAACCCAGAGGTCCAAGGCTTGGTCCCCAGAATGGCACTGATGGTAGGTGGTGGCCTTTAAAAGGCAGGGCATGGCAGGAGGAAGTTTGGTCACTGGGGGAGTGCACCCTCCCGGGGAGCAGAGGTTCTGCACCCTCTTCATCCCCTTCCTGGTTGATGCCAGGCTTAGTGGCCCAGGAAGGAGTTTGAAGTATACACAAGAATCTAAGTGGACACAAAGCTGGCCAGCATCTCCCTGACTCCCAGTCACAGTCACAGGCCCAGTCACAGGCTAGTTCAGGGCATGGAAGAGCAATCCTTTTCCTGCAAAACACCTCACTTCCTTGGTTCAGTGGCCTACAGAATGATAGGAATGGCTAAAACTCAGAGAGTACTTGCTATGCTTTAATTAAATTAATCCATTTACTTCCCACTAGGAGGAAGATACTAATGCTACCTCTTGAGAAACTAGCACAAACTGGAGCACAGAGAGGTTAAGCAGCCTCGCCAAGGTCGCACAGTGAGTATGTACCAGAGCCAGCTTCGAACCCCGGATCTTGGGTTTCAAGCCCTTCTCGGCTGTGTTACCAGCTGTCAAGATTCCCACTTCCCTGGATACACCTGTTTCTCTGGCCTCTGAGAACTTTCCCCAACCCACCCTCCAAACACTGAGTTAGAGCCCCTGGGGCAGCAGCCCAGCCAGCCCACCACTCAGTGATCTTCAGTTTGTAGCTGTAGTTTGCCCTGGGCATCTGTGTAGATAGGTGCCCGGCAGGGCTCACAGAAAGACAGAGATTTCCCTGTTGCAGCTCAAAGTCCCCGCTAAGCACTGGTGTTCTGAGTCACCACTGTTAGGAGCACTGTGCGCGCAGTGATGCCTGGCTGGCCTGGGATTCCTGGCTTCCCTCGAGACTCACACTCACATCTCAAGATGTCCTCCACATTGCTCCACAGGCCATCACTGTCACAGCATGGACCTGGGAGGGAGAGGACAGGGACGGAGGGTTGGTCCCGGCAGCTGCCTGTGGCTTCTCTGACGCTGAGGAGAATCTCCAGGACTCTCCCCACAAGCTGACCACAGTTGTGCTCCCCAAGCTTTGGCACAAGGCGTCTGTGACCAGCTGGGAAGACTGCGTAGGGTTTAAGTTTGTCCTAAGGACCTTTCTGAGTTGTTTGGTGTTATGTGGGATGTCTGGAATGGACGATTTGCAGATCCTCTGTATCAGGAGAGAAATGAAATATTCAGGGAGCGAAGTGGCAGGCCCAGGGCTGTGTTTCCTGGGCTTGGGGCTCAGCACACCCAGGCTGGAGCCTTCGCTTCCTGATTCTCCTCCTGCTCTTAGCCAAGGAGGAGATAAACGGACTTTTCTCACGGGTCACCCTCAGCCAGCAGTGCCCACAGTGGACACCCAGGAAACTAGCCCTGACCAATCAGTAGTGTCTGCCACGGGTATGGGCCAAGGATGAGGTGTGGTGAGTGCCAGCCTGCACAGGCTCCTCACAAGCCTCCTCTCACTATGCTGTAAAACGTGGCCATGACACACTTGGCACAGAGGAAGTGGCGAGGAGTTCAGATGCAAACACAGAAGCCCACAGGACAGTAATACCTTTTGTCTTCTGTCTTGCCTGCCCCCAAATCCTGGCTAGCTCTAAAGACCGGCTCGAGTTTCTCTCTCTTCCTGCATCCCTGTCCGAGAAACACCAGCCCACTACTAACACTTGTTACTTGTTGCCTCCCTTCCCACCTGCTAGTTCTGGCGGCTAGGTGGGGCAGAACCCAAGCTCACAGGCAGGGAGGCCCAAGTGCAAGGCCTGACCCCGCCACTTAAATCAGCTACGTGGCATCCCCTCTCTGAGCCCCTTTCCGACGTGCAGATGAGTGGGATAACTGTGCATCTCTGCCAGTGCTGGGAAATTAGATTGCGGGGTGCGTGGAAAGCTTGTAGCATAGGGGCTGGTATACAGGAAGTGATCAGCATTATTATTACTAGTTTAAAGACTTAAGAATTTCCCTAGGTTTCATTCTGGTTAGGAAGGATGACAGACAGCAAAATTCTGCACCATTTCCAAAATACAATCAGTACTGATCACTTAGCAATTAAAAACTTGTGGGAAAGTAAGTGGGAAGGGAGCGCTGGCAGATCTCAGAACCACGGCTCTCCCAGGCAGAGCAGCTGTAGGGCAGATGTGGGGGCTCTTGACAGTCGTGAGGTTTTATAAACCAGCAGCAATCACTGCCCGGTAATGCCTACCTGATTAGACTGGGGCCGCAGCTCGGCCTGTTCTCCAGCCCGTCCCAGATGTCTACAGCCAGCTCATTTATGAGCTGCTTGCTTAGTTTCCCTTGCTTTTGTGGAGACTCACTTGAGAGCTTACCCAGGCTGGGTGCTGGAGGCAGGGCCATGTTCCAAGCCACCTGGGATGTCCCCACTCTGCCTCAGTCCTCTGTGGTTCAGGATCAGCCTGCCTGAGTAGTGGAGGGCCAGTGAACTTCCTTTGTTTGCTTATGTATAAGATAACTCCTACCCCATGGGCGTTCCAAAGAAATGGAAAAAAATCTGAGCATGACAGTGCATGCCTGTAATCCCAGCACTGAGGGAGCCGGAGGCAGGAGGATTGCAAGTTCAAGTCCTGGCTTGGCAACTTAGTGAGACTCTGAATCAAAATTTAAAAAGCCAGAGGATGGAGCTCAGTGGGAGAGCAATCTTGGGTTCAATCCCCATGGCTGCCCCCCAAAAGACAGAAATGGAAAGAGAGACAATGTGGTGGAGGGATGTATAGTATCTATTGTAGACTGGGCCATCAGGGAAGGCCAGCTGGACACTTACCTATCACAGGACCTAGCCACCAGAGAGCAGGCAAGAACAGGGCAAGCAGAGGACTCAGCAAGTGCAGAGCCTCTGAGGAGGACAAAACCTGGCGTGCGTGGGATGGACGGAGAAAGTAGGCGTGTCATGCGGGTGTTGAGTAACAGAGAAGTCACAGGGCCTGTGGAGGAGCCCGAGGGAGAGGGCCATGCAGGACTCCACAGTGTGGTCCTCTCTTCCAGGAGAGACTTCATGAAATCCTAGGTTTCCATCTCTAGCACAGTGGAACCTTTCTATTTTTGTTTTCAAATATCATTACTCTATAGAAGTCACTCAGCTGCTTACTATTTCAAATGTGGTCTGCAGCCAGCCACACAATCACCTGGCCTTCTGTCAGGCATGCAGGTTTAGGAGGACCCTAAGCCTACTGCATGCACTTGAGTGAGCTCCCCAGGTGATCTTCATGTAAAGTCTGTGGGTGGGGGTGTCTTGGCTCATAAAGGCAGCTGCAGGAAGAGTCACCTGGGGCATCATTTAAAATGCTCCCCTTTGGTGCTCTGGATTCTTCATCAGAGCTCTAGATTTGGTTAGAAAAATAAACTTGGTTTTCCCTTCTAGGACCCAGAGGCTTCCACTTCTAGGAAGGAGGAAAGACTGTTTCTCTGCTTTCCTTTAAATGCTGGTGGAGGACGTATCTTAGGCCACTTGGGGGTGAAAAGAACATCTCACAGATAGAGACAAGTTTGAATGATTAAGTATCCCCTGGCCAGGGGAACACTGCATGTCCCGGTACCACAGCTGGATGACTGAGACCCAGAGAGCTTTTGCTTCAGTGTTGTAAGATGCAGGAGCGGAGCTGAAACCAAAGCCACTCCTATTTCTGTAACTCTCCCCTCTTGCTATCCCATCTTTGAAATTTAGGAACTCTTAACAAAAACACGAAACCAATTGCTAGCCTGGAGGAGGCTCTTACCAGTTTCTGGGTGACTCCAGGGGGAGCCCACTCGTAGGTGATGGTGTCAAAGGTGGGGTCTTTCCCAGTGGCAATGGGGTTGGTCATGATCATCCGGTTCCTCTTGTAAATGCGGATGCCATCCCCGCCTTTCACTCGGGCAGTGAGGGTAGAGTACTTGGAGTCCATCAGCAGGCGGCCAATTTTCCGATCGTCTTCAAGGTCAGAAGTCAGGCAGTGGTCTTCCTGGCTGCACTTGCACGACTTGCATATTTTCCTGTGGGGTTGGGTGAACAAGAACAACTGAGCTTGACCTCCAGAAGTGAGCCATGCCAGGGGAGCTGGTGTCCCTACAAAGCAAGCTCACAGATTACCTTTGCTAACTCAGAAAGGCATGCAGCAGACAGAGGGTAAAGAAGGCTGAGACAAAAGGCTTTCATGACCAGCATTCCTGTCTATCAGTCTATCTGTAGGGAACTCAGGCATAAACATTGAGAAGCTTGCATTGCCGTAGCAAAGGCTAATTCATTCCTTACTGATTCTCTAAAGCTGGAGCCTCTGTAGCTTGGAGCTTGAATCTGGCCCACATCCTACATTTTGTAAATAAAGTTTTATTGGAACCCAGTCATACTCATTCATTTACATACTGTCTATGATTGCTTTGGCACTAAAATGACAGAAATAATAATTAACCATCTGGCCCACAAAGCTTAAACTGTCTGGACTTTAACTTTAGAAATTTGCTGATCCCTACCCTAAGTGATCATTAACATTGTCTCCCGAGATTCATAAGCCTCCAAAATCCAGCAAACTCAACGTGCTTTAAAATGCACACAGAAGTGACAACCCAGTGGTAATTTTCTCTGAGAAACTGGTGGAAAGGGATCAGAGAGAAGGGAGCAAGTTGATAGACGCCTTCCAGCTGGAGAGATGGATGTCCACCAGGAAAGCTTCATCAGGAGGCCAGAGAAAGAAACACATCTTGGGGAAAGTTCAGGTTCACTTGGAAGCCTGACTCATCTCTCTGACAATTAAAAGCATAATGTGTTTGGCTGCTTTGTATCAGGCTGTGAAGGTTTAGAAACCAGAGAGTTCCACCACAGGAGAGGAAATCTGCTCCCTGCCCTTCCTGGCCTGTCACGGTAGGTGAGCTGCACAGCATCTCAGATGCTCCTGGGCATCCAGGGCGTGCGACTGAAGGGCTTCTTAGGTAAAGTGAGGGGGGTCAAGACCAACTGCAGGCAGAGGAATGCCAGGCAAGTGGGGGGGGGTGCTCAGAAGGCAGCACAGACGGCAGGTCCCAGAGAGCCATCCCTTTCTCGTCCACACTTAGGAGTAATCAGTTCAATCAACTGTGGTACTGTGTACCAACTGTGGAGCTACAGAGGCTGCCTGATGGTCTGTATCAGTGATTCCTCTACCCAGAACGCGTCCATCCCCTAGGATGGAAGTAGCAATATCTGGAAATACTGGCCATTATCTCGGGGAGGATGGAGGGTGCTTCTGGTATCATCTAGTGGGCAGGAGCCTGGTATGCTGCTGAACATCCAGTAGTGCCCAGCACAGCCTACCGTCACAGAGAGTTTCCATGCCCTAAATGTCAACAGTGCCAGGGTTGGGACACTCTCACCTACTTGGAAGGGAAGGAACCTACTGCAACCTCCAAGCTTCCTCGGGACAGAAGAAGAGAAAAGCAGCAGTATAGAAGAAGAGAAAAACTGTCACAGAAAGCAGGTTAAGGTCTGGCCATGACAGAAGGGGACCTGTGGTCTGGGGTGGCTCTGGCCCAAGCAGCCCCGCGGGATGTTAGCAGGTGACACACAGACGAGGGCTCAGCACTCACGAGACATGAGCTGGGAAGGCAGCGGCTAAGCAAAGCCAAAATCTTCCTTCAGCGTGAGGCTACTCCTTGTCTTTGGTACACTGATGTGCACTGCGGTGTCTCTAATGTACCTCGAGATGCTCACCATCTAAGTTCACATCCAGTGAGCAGCAATGTGAGGAACATTAAAGCCCACATCACAAGGATTCAAAGAACAAAAGAGGAAGGACCCTAAGGGGGGTACTGTGGACAACAGTGAAAAGCTGTCTTTTCAGCCTCCTAGGAAGGGGTTGCCTGTTTAAAAACTAGGGCTTTTTACTCATGATCCATGCTGTTCCCTTCTGTCAAGGAAGGCAAAGACAGTACCAGAGGGTGCAAAAGCAGAAGCCAGAGGTGGCAGGAGAGGGAAGAGCAAGGAAGGAGGGAGGAAAGCCCAGGGTAGGAGGACACAGAGCAGCCCTGGCCCAGTCTCTCCATGTGCCGTCTGTCCTTCTGTCTTCCCCAAATCTTCCATATATGGAACTGGATGAGGAAACTGCCCTGTGTTCTGTGGTTAGTGTAGAATCTCAGAATGCTGTTAGAGACACTGGGAATGCAAAATATTTTGAAATGGAAAATGTTAGCAAATATGAGATGTTCTTTGAGGTTGCATCCACATTATTTCTTATTCATATTCTTCGTGTCTCCAGACACATCGCTAGGACTTTATAAATGAGAAAGCCATCCCTCCCACTCCACCCTCTCTTTTTCCACAGATCCAGATTGCTGGATCCAAACACTTTTCAAAAAAACCTCAGTAGTATGAACGGACCATGGCTTCAATTTTCATTCATAGCCTGGAATTAGATTCTGTGCTCTGATGGTTCCCAGAGGGACATTCCTGTTAAACCAGGCAGGCTGGCACTGTTACAGGTAGTTGAATTAGACAGAAATAATATACGGTCAGAGAGGGATTGAGCTCTCAAAGAAGGCAATAGAAAATAAAGATATCAGAATTGTAGCCCGAGGTGCATCTGAAGGTCAGGCCTCAAGATAGAAATGCAGAGGCCAGACCTACATGCCTACTACGTCATAAATAGTTACTTAGAATTATTCTGTAATTAGCGCTACATGATCCAGGAGGTCCAGACCGGCATGTCACCCAGATGGGTGATCAGAGGATCTAGACCCATCCTTCCCCCAAAATGCCTCCATGTACCCTTGCTATGAGGCCCGCTTTGTTACTGCACCAACACTAGACAAGCAGCTATAATACTTGTAATCCTGCAGCCTGATTCCCTGTGACCTATGCTGTATCCACATTGTGACTTTGCTGTATGATTTATTACAGAAAAGGGCCTTAGTGGCAACCCACTTGGGACTCCTCCTCTCTCTCGGGAGCTCTCTCTCTCTCAGGAGCTCTCTCTCAATAAACCTTTTCTACTCTTAACCTCCATTGTTCTTGAAATTCATCCTCCAATTTCAGGAGCTCAGCACATCTGACATCAAACAGTGTGGGAGTTATATTTCTCCTCGATCAGTATGTTGGCCTTTTAAATACCTTTCAAACAACGGGTGGTATAAAAACTTGACCATGGAGATCTTTGACAGGGCTTCCCTCTAAGGTTCTGTGATGTCCCTGCTTCACCAAAGGTTGAATTAAGTTCCCGCCTGCACTGTTGCAACCAAAGACAGTCTATATTTCTCAAAGAGAAATTCATTTGATGTTCAAATCATTTGTAGGATGACATGCTAATACAGAGATTCAAATCTTGCTAAGAGACTTCTGCTCCTAGTCATGAAGAACAGGGTCAAAAGTTGTTCACCCTCATAAACAACTAGAAAACCAGACAAAGTCTATTAAGTAACCATTTTCAGATGTTGGCAAATGAGCAACTCAGACCGTAGTCCTTGACAAAAGGGAAAGCACTCAACTACCTTGGTGGGTGCATTGAGGAAACATCCTCCTTTCCCATGAAATTTACAAAGGGGTCCCCTATCTGCCTTCAGAGAGTTCGAGGAATCAACAGTGTCTGAAGTCCTGACAAAAAGATGTCGGACTAACAGGGTTTAAATGATAGATAAGTGGATCAACTTTAAAGTCAGAAAGCTCAAAAATGGTGAAAACAGAAGCATAGGAGTTCTCTCCCTGGGTGTGTTTCAGATGTAGAAGGAAATTTTGCACTTAGATGGGTTAGACAAGTCTCAGGGTCCCTGCTATCGCCACATGAACTCCTCTGAGATCAAAGACTTTTAAGGAATGGAGTAAAAAAAAGCAGTCTCCTCCTCTACAAGCTTACAGCCCACCATATTCCAGAACAGTGAGGAATCCAGGACTGTGCTTCCGGCAGATTGAGTTCAAATCCTGCCACTTAGTAACAATCTGTTACCTACTCTCAGTATCTTGATCTATATAACAGAGATATCGATGACCATACTGCTTAGGGTTATTTCAGTGCAAAAGACGTCACTCAGCTCATGTGCCATCTCCGTATTTTCCATTTCACAACAGAAGTCAGAATCTTCTAGAAACTAGCTCTGAACTTTGAGCCCCTACCGAGTGCCCAAGGGACACCATGGCACTGACAAAATAAGCTTAGTTTGCTTCAGTGCTCCACAGAGCTTGTGCTCCCTTTGCCAGCGTGGCGGGGAGAGTTGCTCTCTGGGACACCAAACGCACAGGGTGTTGTGCAGTGTGGCAGCCTCAGCCTTACTGCCAGAGACCTGGGTTAAAAAACAGAAAAGATCCTCTGGCCTCCTGTGCAAATACCATCCTGGACTTGAAGGACTGTGACAGAATGACCTTTCCTTCTACCCCAGGGGCTACTCTTAGGTCAGGACTTACCCACAGGGATGATAGTGCAGTGGGGTGAGATCAAGCCTGGCCACTAAACCCTTGGGGGATGGTCCTATCCCAAAGACAGTCCTGCCTAGCCATGCCTTCCCTCAGCAAACCTTGCTGGGCCGGGCTTGGCGGCTTCCACCTTGAAGTGGCTTAGGAAGCACTAAGTACCATCTTCAGATCTGTGCTCCAACAATTTTTCTGAATAGGGCCCAGCAGGAGGGCTCTCCCTCCACTGCTGCCATGTCCAGTGATGCATGCATCCTGAGCATCCCCAGCACAGGAGTATACAGGGTTCCCGGAAAGGACAGCCACAAAAGGCAGGCAGGCAGAGCACCCCCACCCACCCATCCTCCCACACACACACACACACACACACACACACACACACACACACGACATCCCTTACCTCCACGAATGTGGCTCGAAACCTGAACACATCCCCTTGCACCTCAAGCAAGCCACAGCTCTGGCGGACTGCTGCTGGCCCAGGGACATCTGGAAAACAAGACAGAAAAGAGGGTGTTTTCCTCTTAAAGTCTTGGACCAGAGACACTTGATCTCTAAAAGACTTGGCATAACAGAAAGGGACTGTGTGTGGGACAAAGGACTGGAGGTTAATAAGGCGTGGCTCACTGTTCACCAGGAACAGAGGACTGCTGGAAATGGGGCCAGGACATACACTGTAGAGGAGTGGGGTCCTTCCTAACACACATCCGACGGGGCCGGCCCAGCCTCCAGGGCAGTCTCAGGACACTGAGGCAGGCTGGGGAGGCTCTTCCCCTCCCCCCATCTCACTTGTCAGACAATGTGACCTCCAGTGAGTGGCTCCTCTTCCTCCTTCAGTTCTGATTTATTGACAGTGTGTAATTAAACCAAAATTACAGACACACACCAGTGTACATGCTGCCAAATGTTCATGGATCAAGGAAAAAATATTTGGTTAACACACTCAAATTCTCATGAGCATTCCTCAGTCTCCTTTGGAAGGAGACTTGCCTGATTTGACTATTTGTTATCACCCAAAGGTAACAAAAATGTATTTGGTTACTGCTGCCATGTTTAAACCCAAAAATCTCGCAAACAAGAGTCTTCAAATGTGCCTCCCAGCACTGTCAAAATGCAGACCCTCCAGCCCTTTGGAGGCACAATTGATGTCAACAGGATTCCTAAGAGAAGCATATTACAGTCAAACTAAAGACAGCATTGGGCAGTGTGCCCATCTGTGGGCTGAGAAACACTTAACTCCCCAATGCAGGTGGGGGCAGAGAAGACACAGAACATCTATCATGCTTTTGTCAGAAGCAGGGCACAGTCAACTAGTAATGTAAATGAATAAGCTCTTCATTCAACAAGTGCACTGAATCACTTACTGTTTAGTTAGCATCTGCTACATACCGGGCACAGGAACATAAAGTCAGGTGGACCTTAGATGAACTCAGGTGAGACCAGTGGGCAGAGAGTGGGCAACACATACTAATCACTGGCTGTGGCAGTGGGTAAGGAAAGGGAAACTGCTCACTGTGTAAGACACAGGCATAGACAACATAGGCCAGCATACGTGGGCTGCAAATCCAGCTTTCTGGCTGCATGCAGTAACCAATAGGTTACATGGCCTTGTACACACTGAGCTTCAGTTTTTCTAACCATCCATTGGGCATAGGGTAATATATGTAAACTACCAGACTATATTAAGCATGAAAAATAGCTATTGTTTACTACCAAATAACTATTATTTCGGTAGACTTCAGAAGCCCAGAGGAAGGTGTTAAAGTAAACCCAATGGGAAGTGTGGGGAGATTTGAGAGGAGGGGACCTTGCGCTGGGGCTGTGCAGGATGAACAGACAGTCACGGGGAGAATGCAAGCTTAGCCGAGGTAAGGCAATGGGTAAGAACAGGGCAGGGAAGACGTGGTGGGTGGGTGGGACGTGCTGATCAGTGCAGGCTCTTTGGGACGTCACTAGCTTACTCCATTTGCTAATAAGGGGAAATTAAGTAGAGAAACTTGTAAGGCCATCTCCATTGCCAGCGTTAGTATTCAAGAGGGGTGAAGGGCGAAACCATTCTTCACAGTAGCTCTCTCCTGCACCCCAGATCTTGCCATAATAATGCCCGGCTCCACACCTCTGCTTGTATCTGCTTTTACACCACATCTTACACTCTCTACTCTTCTGCTTTACACACTCGCAGCTCTAGGGAGCACGGGTTGTGTTGCCTCTATTTGGAAGAAATCACACTTATATTTGTGGCTGCTTTGAACTAAAGGTTAAACTGAGAACTAAGGCAGTTCCCATCACTAATTCATCATCCTGCCCTTGGGCATTTTTATCTCACAGGTGAAACTGTTGTCTAAGGCTGTTGGCATATAACTCGGTTCATGTCCACACTTTCTTGACATTCTGACTCTCCTACTTGGAATATAGTGCTCTTTCCACACTTAATATTTGATTGATCCCAAGTTTACTTTGCAAGGTACATAATTTATGAACAAGGCCTCATTGTTGGGGTATTTCGGATCCATCCAGAGGTCTGGAAGCAGAAAGCCGCATAGAGCTTTTCGTAAGCGGTACAGCGCCCGACAAGCCTGAGCGGTATAGTTTGTCTAATGAGAGGCTGATTTAGCTGTCATCCTGCAGGGAATTAGTTCTGACACTTGGCCTGGAGAGCCGCACTGTCTTTCATCTGCTGGCACAGGGCCTGGTTGAGACACCGTGATGTAAAGCAGAACAGAGTGCAAAGCATCAGCCGTGGAGGGCCTCCTGGTGCTGGCACCGGCAGCCACGGCTGTGCAATGGAAGCGAGTTATTCTCCACGCAGCCCAAGTGTCTCCCTTATAAAATAAGAACGCTGGCCTGGACCAGGGTTCTCCAAACTGTGTCTGCAGGACATGTGTTTTTCTGAGATAGCACACAGTGGTTCATGGTTGTGGGCAGGAAAGAGAATTACAAGGTTACACGACCCAATAAAAATGGTGGGTAGTGGATGTGCAAAATTTCAAAACAGAGCACCAGGAAAGGGGAGAGCAGGCAACTGTTTCAAGGGGAGCGATCCTCAGATGCATTGTAGCCCCAATTCCCCTTTCTTCCGCTGCACTTGGACCAGCAACTGGACTTGCCGCGTCTCAGTCTCACCTCCTGTGTTATAGGGATAAAGGGACCCGACCTGCCTCCTGAAATTACCATGAGCATTAAACAGGATGCTATGTGCGACAAACCTGGCACATTTCTCATGGACTGAGTGTTTATTGTACTTGCCAGTACATCAGGTGGAAGACCGTTTGAGAAACCTTGAAGCAGAAGTTCTTAAAACATCTGAACCCAACTTCAGCATTCTAGAGGGCTACAGAGGAACTGCTTTCCTGCATACCCCATAGGCTTTCTTATTCTTCACTTGGCTTCTTGGGTATACATATTATCTCTCTGATTAGATTTTTCTCCAAAGGAAAAAAGAGGGGGAGGGGAACCCTGTGAATATTCCATATTTTATAATAAGTAAGGAAGTTAACCCTAACCTTTACCCTTGAGGAACTCATTAGGTAAACGTATTCCTAACTGGTATGCTACTCACAATTGAAGAATACCAACATGAAAAATCCCCCAAACACCATGAAAGCCCAGTACAGTCAGGCAAGTAATGATGCAGGAGGTGTGACCTCGTTGGTCCAGGACATCACACCAAACACAGAGGCAGGAAGCATTGGTCCCAGCCTTTATCCTGCTAGTGGAATGGTTTTCACAGTGGCCCCATGGGGAGAAACAGAAACAACCTTGCAAAGCAGAAATAGATTAGTCCATCCGTCCCGCTGGCAGCCACCCTCTTGGCTATCTGTTAGCACAGCAAAGCCTTTTGTTCTCCCTGTGCCCTTTGTCCCAGAGCCACAAGTCCCCTCGCCTTCCACTCACAGAAAATGATGGTCTGTTTACGGGGGAGGGGAAGCTTCACCGGAAATGGAGCTCCAAACAAGACCCTGTTTTATAAGTAGCAGGGTTCTCTACTGACAGATGGCACCACTTCTCCCCCTGTTTGCCAGTGGCTGAGAACAGAACCGGTTTAGAGGACCCATCATTTAGAAAAGCTTCCTTGGAATGCAGCAGCTAATCTGTCCTTGTTCCTGGCAGGAGGAGAAAACATGTTTTGACAATTTTCTTTGGCTCAGGATGGAAGGATGTGGTTCATCTGATACTGTCGCAGAGCTGAACGCTGTCAGAGGCTTCAAAGGACTCAAAGCAGTGTGGGAGGCCGTGGGGATGCAAGGAGCAGGGGCAGCTGAAGGACCCTTTTTCCCTTAGCTCTTGCCTTCAGGTGGACCCCAGGGGAATCTTAAAAGGTGGGGCAGGGTGTCACCAAGAGCAAGGCACACGGGGAGGAGGAGGAAAGTTAAATGGGAAATGCAGCGTGGAGTTCACAGATGAGCACAGAGTGAGGGATTAGAAAGTAAAGATTCTCCCGGCTCAGCTTCTTCCTGTGACTCAGGTTCTGTCTCTAAAAAGTGGATTATTCCTGCCATGCTTTGGTCTGAATATGGCTGCTATAAGTACACTGTAAACATAAGGATAATTTTTAAAACAAAGTTAAATACTTCATCTGACAAACTTCTCCGGGTAGATGGCACATTCTTTCACTGTCTTTGGTGGCAGTGACACTGGTTCCCCCTAACCAAGGGTTAGCTAGAAAAAGTCACTTTGCTTTGCTTTGCTTCCAGACTGGGAGTTCCCCATTAACTTGTAGTTCTTAGTCCAGTAGAGATACGAAAACTTCTGTCGTTTTGAAAAAGATAACCCTGAGGTTATGGTTTATTACCCTGCAGGACAGTACCGAGTTTTTTTTTTTTTTCCCCTGTCTTTTTCCTTTTTATCGGTACCGGGGATCGAACTCACAACTGCCTGCTTGCAAAGCAGGCACTTATGCTGCTGAGCTAAATCCCCAGGCCATTGACAGTAACGAGTTTTATAGTGAATATATCAATCTTGTCCTAGTATTAAATTGCCTATAGAGACAGAGCTCCCCAAAGGTTTCCTGCAGTAACCTAGAAGACTTTTTGAATAGGCTTTCTCATTAAAGGGTGAATAAAATACTGGACAAGTGTTATTTTATCTTTCATGAATCATGATGTTTTTGAAAGCCGCATCCTCATACGCTCACATGCCCTCAGCTGGCTAGGAGTTTGCTTTGTAAGGTGGGGTCTACCAAACCGACACAGAGTTCTGTTCAGTGGGGACTTGTCTCTGACAGGAATTTCTGTATTCACAGATGTTATTAAAGATTACTGGCTAACATGTTTTGTTACTTAAAGACAATCTCTTTCCTAGGGGTGCCAAGAGAGAAAGCACAGTGAGAGTGGAGGTGGCTTGGGTGGGGAGAAATTATGAGGCGACCTGGAGATCTATACATAAAACATGATCTTGTAACGTCCTACCACCATAAACAACTCCAATAATGAGTTTTGCAGTCTCCAAGGTGATTTTGCCTCTTTGTCGTCTCTTATGTAACAGTTATG